TCAAGCACGAACTTCTCGCACAAAAAACGGCACCGCCTTACATGGAGACCGCCAACTTCTTCACAGCGCTGGACTCAAATCGACCACATCGCCATCAGCCACCGCTGGAGAGGATCCATTGAAGACTGCCGCTCCTACTGGTCAACACCCGTAGACACGGACCATGCTCTGCTGCAAGTGAGATTCTCCCTACGCCTAATAAACAAGCGCAGAAAAGCCGCCGAAAACGGATGCCTACAATACACTATCACCGACAGTTGCAAATCGGCCTTCGAAGCGGAAATATCAGATCGTCTCTCAGCACAACCATCAGCCAGAGGACTCAGTGGGCATTGGACGGCAATTAAGGAAGCGATCCAAATTTCAATGAAAACAACGGTGTACTCTGGAGCACGATCAAATAAAAAACGATGGATCTCCCCGACCGATTGCCTTGCTGGACGCTCGCAAAGCCATTCCTTCGGATTCAAACTACGACAAAGCGNNNCCCTTAAACGCCAACTCATCAAGAATCTGAGGAATGACCGCGAGAAGTGGTGGGTAGGAAATTGTAGATTGGTGGAGAAGGCTGCGGCTATTGGTAATAGTCGCAATCTTTTTCAGGACCAAGGAAGGCAGGCGTAAGTGAGGTAATTAAGGAGTCTGACGGCACACTGATTCAACTTCAGGAACGTCGTCTTGAACGTTGGGCAGAACATTTTAAGGCACAGTTCAGCTGGTCCCCTTCGACACAAGACTTAAAATAACTCCATCTTCCGCTTGAATTTGTTTCGACATTCCAATCTTCACTTCGCTCTTTTATCCAAATGGGCAACCAAAGACAGCAACCAAAACCGGCGCACAAAAGTGCATGGTTCATGGTTGTAAAAACTGAAACTGAAACTGAAGCAGGAGCCTTTAACTAAGGTCTGATCAGCTAGATAGCGGAGTTAAAGCAGTCTAATCGTCCGCCCTTCGGGTGTGGTTTACTTTCTCATTGTGTTTTTTGATGACCTATCACCCATTCAAGCCCGTAATCACAGCATCAACATAGCAAGCACGTCAGGAAATGAGTTCATACGCTTCTTCGTTGGTCGGTCGGTATCAGGGGTTCATGACGCACCTAAACGTGTTAGCGGTCCACGGCCAATCAACCCAGCTTAGCATCATATATTAATCTGTCATCCTCTCATTTTAGGGAAAATAAAAATTACGAAACACCGGCTGGTAGACAATCATGGTGCCAACGATACAACAATGATAACAATAACAGGAGATAGGTGGACTGGGGTGCAGAACAGTTTGGGAAGAGGGTAAAACAGTTAAACACGGTAAAATGGAAGATAACTGGGATAAGAAATTTTTTTGCGTTTCATCGTACACCTTTTGGTATTTTTTGTGCGTTGTTTGTTGTTTTTACGGGGCACGGGATTTTGACAGGTAAACTGTACAGTATTCGTGCCACTGACTTCTATTCTGGGCCGTATCTTTCAGCGTCTCTAAACGACAATCCTCATCCTTTGGTCCCCAACCTGGAAGGCGGGCCGCACCAACCGAAGCCAAAGTTGAAGCCAGCTTCTCTATGCCTCTACACCATGTCATGGTCTGACTGCCACGCCGCTTCTTCCAGCCTTGCCCGGCACGTGCAAAGAGAGCACGGAAAGGTAGTCGATGGGTAGGCAGACACAATACGTGACCAAGCAATCGAAGTCGGTGTAGAGCGATTACTTCTGTTAGAGAACGAATATCCGCATCTAAAACACGTCATTGCTCACCCGATGTTCCCACCAGACTCAAGCAATGCATCGGTGGTCGCTTACAGAAAGTCCATTAACATCCTCAACGCGGATGAGCCAGGTCTCGCAACCGTAAAGGAGAACGCTACGAACCACAGTGATGTACACTCTGCCCTTGAGTGATAGTCGGATGCCATAGTGGCGCCACAGGTGTCGCAGGTTGGCGAAAGCTGCTCTATCTTTCACTATTCGGGATGTGATCTCCCCAACATCCCACCGGCTGCGATCAAGCTGCCGAGGTACTGAAAGCTCTCAATTACTTCTAGGTGATCACTGCAGAGGATGAGTGCAGGCACAGGCTCCTGCCAGTCTTGAACAAGCACTTTGCACTTAGAAGGTGCAAAGTACATACCGTATCTGGATACCTCGATCGCCAAGCGGTTAAAAGCATCTTGGACTGCCTGTGTGTTGTCACCCAGCAAGGCGGTATCATCGGCATATTCTAAGTCAAGGATTCTGTTTCCTGGGAGGAGTTCGACTCCACCGTTTGCTAGACCGGACAATGCATTCTGTAGAACATCCTCTATGACAAAGTTGAAAAGGAATGCGGATATAGGGCTGCCTTGCCAAACTCCACTGGAGACTTGGTTGTATGGGAGCATTTCGTGAAGTGTAAGGAAAGGGTGATCAGCCACAACCCCAGATGCCCACCTCCGACCATACCTAGGCGTTACACTCTAATCGGATAGATTTATTTGGCTTGTAATTTTTTATGGGCACTTAGAGGTGGTGCCAAGAACGAAAATGATGAAATAATAAATTGGCATGAAGGAAATAAACAGTTTGCTCCTATGGATAGTTTCTGGCTTTCTTGTTAAGATATCGTAGTCCGTTCAATAGATTTTTGGATACAGGAGAATAAACTGAGTGTTACAAGCACCGAAGCGCGTGCATCTGCCCTGTTTTGTTTTGCTCATAATTCGGTTTTTCTTTCAAGCTCTTTTCATTGAAAATGTGTATAAGGGAAGAGAAGAGCGACCAATCCAATGGCTGTCATACATATGAAATGGGTGGGGGGGACGTTGGGCTACTGTGGTAGGATTGGAATTCACGTCCCCTGGGACGATGAATTGGTGACCTTAACTGCTTACCAATTGCAACTTTGTTTTTTTTTTCAGCTTTCCGTTTACTCTCCATCTTCTTCATTGGTGTACGATACGAGTACTGAAAATATAACAGTGAAAACGGATATGCAGAGCTGATGATTCTATAAACGCTAATTGTTAATCGAATATTTTGAACTTCGGCCTGTCTTTCCACTTCCACAGTTATAATTGGAAGAACAAAGAACATATCCCCAGCAATTGGTAAGTCCTTATGGATCCTTATACATCGTAAGCAATTTAAGGTTCGTCTTTTAGTCTCGGATAAAAATACTGTGTTTTCAGCATACCGACAGTACAGTACACCACCATGGATTTACTTCAGCGCTGTCTCATTGTGTTCGGTGGATTCTTATCTTATTTCTTGGCCGATGGGTACACCTATTCCGTAGGAGTTTTCTATTCACATCTGATGAGCAAATTTGATGCGAGCAGTTCATCGTCGGCCGTTTTGCCAGGCCTGCTCTATGCGGTTCCCCAACTGACCGGTTTTTTTCTGTGCCCGTTGTTAGAGAAATTCGGTTATTCATCCGGGGCCGCATGGGGCGCTCTGTTGCTCAGTCTTAGCTGTATTGGTACGTTTTTTTTCATACTTCACCCACGCTCCTCCACAGCGTCCGCGTTTGCACCGAGCATACAGTTACTTTATCTAACGTTGGGTGTATTTGCCAGTATCGGATTACAGCTAACCTATTCGGCAGCTATCATGGCAGTGACTGCTACTTTTGGTGATACAAGAATGTGAGTTCCACTAAGAGTTTTTGTCTTCTTCTATTCCGTGATGCTTTATTCATCCCTTTTTTATTGGTCTTCACCTGTTGATGTAGTATGTACGAGAACATCTTTGAGCACATTGTTGAAACATACGTAATCTCAACGAATTATTACTGTTAATCGACGGTGCCTGCCAAGTTGTTCTGCAGCCACATTGGATGCCGTTAACTTGCAGCGTACACACCATACCATACCGCTGTCCATCCTCTAATCATTTACAGATGGGAAGTGTAGCCTCTGCCAGCCGATCGTAATAGAAGGATGGAACAACAAACAATCGGAAAACAAATGAATTCCAGAAGATGCTTAGTGATCGACCTCCATAGACTACGTTGTTTGATGCATGTGTTCCGCACGTCATCAAAGAGGTTGCCACGGTGAGCGATGTTCGTCGTAAACAGTGGCTTTCGTTGTTCTTAATTTCTTGCATCATTAGTCTACTGCGATTGTCAATTTTCTCTTCGATTCTACTTTCAACCTTCATGTCTTTGTCCTACTGTTTATCTAAATGGACAGCCAAAAGACAGCAACCAAAAGCGACGCACGGAAGTGCATGGTCGATGGTTGTTCGAACTGAAACTGAAACTGCATAGGACCTGCAAGGATGACAAAATAGATTCATTCTTCGATGGTTTATTCATCTGTTTCTCACGTTTCCATCAATCTTCTTTCTATTGCTTACATTGTTGGCACTTTGCCTGTTCTACACTCATGGCTGACCAGATGTGGGCCTATCATTTTAAGTTGAATTTCGCGCACCAGAGTCCTACTCATTTTTGCTCAGTATGAAATTCTATCTGGATTCAACTATTTTCTGACAAACATGATGCCCATCCCGGGGCACTTGGATATCCTGAAGCTAAAGATTCCGCAAAAGCCTATACCACAATCAATACCCTCATCCGATCTTCGAAAATCCTAGATTTTAAACCCACTACCGTTGACTCTATTTGTTGAAAGAAAGTTTCACCACCGCTATGCTCAATACGATGCCTAATCAATCCATTATTCTTTGTGGTTCAGCAACTTCAATCCTCAATTTCTGCAATCCTGGACTACACAGAGCAGTTTTCACGCACATTTCAGTTTCAATTTCTTTGGCGAGGTGTCTCGATTTCTTTTCCAGTGGCTGCTTTTTTGTTGTTGCCACAACAGCTTTTTCCATCAACCTGTATCCTGGTGACCTTCGTTTTGTCGAATCACTGCTTGGGTTTCATGGTGACTCGAAATACAATGTTCACTCAAATCTCATCAAAATATACCCTGTTGTTCTATCGCACCAAAATATTGGGAGATCCTTCGGATTTCTCAATTTCATCTTTTCCCTATACGAGTCTGCCACAGTCCCAACTGATTCGAGTCCTCGTGCATTTTTTTCATCGTGTGGCACACTACACTGACCTGTTGCGAATTTGCGACGCAAAAGGTTGTGGCATAGACGAAATCTACGAATCTGGAGCCAGTTGATTTCATACGGGAAATGATACTACCATGACGCAGTCAAACAAAAAGCCCAGTGAAGTATGATCACAAGCCCAACCAAATAGAAGAAGAAGAAGGACAGACCTTCAGGTGAAGTTGAATGTTTGGCTCAACTGAAAGGCAATTCCGAGGACAAACTTGACTGTCTAAATACTTTTCTCAAGTCAGCCATTGGTGAAATTTGTAAATTAGCTGGAAAGTTCAAAATCTCCTGAAAATAGGCTAATCAGGAACGATTGGTACAGGTGATGTGATAAAAGTCTTTAGCACAAAAAATCGACGTTTTAAATTTATAAAAGTAAGCAAAAATAGGGAAACAGGAGTTAAGTAGCATCTTTCTGTGATGAAAATGGGGATTTCCCGTATCAACTTGCCCTTTTTGAGGCATGCATCTTCGCGGATGCGTCGGGTAACTGATCTATTGGCTGAGGTCGAAGTTGCTTGCCGTTGCAGATCCAGTGGTCACCGTCTCCACTGACTTCGTACAGGACCCTGTCTCAGTGGTTTGTGATGTTTCCTGCCGCCAGTAGGAGTTACCACCCCGGTAGCTGCAAACGTGTATCTTGATGTCGGGTTGAAGAACACTAATCGACTACTGCACACCCCATTTCCGTATTGCATTTTTGGAACAGTTCAGCGGGCGGAGCACCCTGATTATTCAACTGGCAGTATGGTTGCGAGTGTGTGGTTGTTGGTGTGGTGCCCGCAGATGTTACTACTTGCAAAATTGTTGTGATCGGTTGGTGATTGTATTGCGGGTCAGTTTTCGTCGATAGCTTGACCAATTCGAGCTCTTCGAAACCCGAATGCATGAGACACCATATGTTATCGATTGTTATTTCTTGGCATGACCTGTGGGAGAACAGTTACCCGGATAACTGCCCAAGACCGCCGCACACAATCATCGCCGAAGAAACTTGGTCAGCGCGGGATTCACCAACGGTCCAAGCCTCATTGTTGTCTGCAACGAGTGCATACAGCAATCCTGTAGCAAAATTTCATTTTTGATGCCAGAAGGATTCATATTGTACTACATGCTCCGCTCGTCTTTGGTTAATCCATTTCCGAGATTCAGAAAGGGCCGAAATGGTGCGAAAATATAAATGAATAAATAAAAATTCTCGAAAGTCAGACAGCTATTGGTCAATTTAATCTTTGTACCTAATATAATCGCACATGAAGATCTGTTTTCTGCTTATGTTCGGTCGGGCTTGTGATATTACTTCACTGGGTGTTTCGTTTGATTGAGCCATGTTGGTTTTGTTTCCTCGTGCGAACTCGTTCCTATGGTCGATCACTTGGGTTGGATTAGAACATTACACTCGCACGAAGGTAGATCAGTGCTCGGTTCCAATGATTTTTACTGTGAGCTCTGGGGTAAACAATTAACTCATGAAAGTGGCGACCTTTTCATGAATACTCCATATATTGGTTGTGTCCAAACTGCTTAAAGTGGTTTTTCAAGGGTCTCTTGTGTAGTTCATTGTTTGCTATGGAATTCTCATCGATTCGTATTTGGCACCCCAAGCTAGTACGTACATGTGAACATACTGTTCTGCATTCTTTCGATTCGTTTCATTTCACGCGTGCACACACAAATCACATTTTCTGTATCACTGCGACCCTTAAATTGCTTCTTGATCGTGGCCTGTCAATTTGGCTTGGTTCAGTATAAAATATCATTTGATTGCGTAGAGTCGCTTTGATCGTTTGTTCAATACTTTCAGCTGTGTTTGGACTTACATCAATAGTGTGATTATAATATATATATATATATCTGCACAAGTGTATAGTGCATGAATAACAAACTATTCTAGCATATTGAAAGATCTATATTTTGAACCAATCCGCGGGGTAGAATTCCAGTCGACTGATATCCTATTTCAGTTTAGTGTTCCAGGTCCAGTTTGGACTTCGCCTTACAAAAACTATGAAACCACTTCTACTCAAATTTCTCAGTTACTGAACTGAGGTCGACTAATGTTTTTCAATCATTTCGATTTTGGCTCAACATTGTAACGTCTGTCAAACAAAACTGATTTTAGCTGTTCGGCTATCAGGTAATTCTCCGACCCCGTGCGTATCCGTCTGTTTTGCCAGCTCGCCGCACTCCGGTCGGAATCAAAAATAAGAATTCCGAACAACATTTGCATCAGGCGGTTGAGAACAATATAGTCTTTTCTCGAGAATTATCAGGAAATTTACATCACAAATCACATGACAGATCAATGGGATTGCACTAATTCGACCAACAAAATTATTTAAAATGTCAGTCAAAATATTCCCTTATACGGGGTCAGATTGCATGGCAATGGATTCGACCAGGAACAACATTTCAAGTATTGAAGTATATAGATCTGCGATGAAACCGTCAAACATATTTTGGAAGTATACGATCTATCTGCCGCACGACGCAGTACTGTCTATCTCACTGGATCCTCAAATGGATTACCCCTCCTCTAGGTCTCCCTTTTTGGGTAGCTCGGTTTTCTTATGGGACAGTCGGTGTATTTCACTCCTTCATTACACTTGGATATTTAATAATAAAATCGAGAATTTCACAGGACAAGGACACATTATTGAACAACTTTTCGATTTTGGTTACTCACCAAAAAATGCTACAAAAAATCGTTCACATCTCAGATGCCTCATTTTATCTATCATGGCCACTGTTACTATAATTTTTTTCATATTACACTTTGACATATTTGTCAATACAACTCTCGTCTTTCATGGTTTTAATAGTTCTCATTCATTGCTTTATAGAGAATGAGTTAGGGTTCAGTTGTATCAAGATGAACCTTATATTGAAGATTGACTGTCCCCAGAATTCCGGTACGCCGTGCATGTCGCGGGATCGTTGGGATTTTCTTCATTCATGGTTTTGTACTCCTGGTAGAAAGCGAATAAAACTAGATCCAGCTGGCACAAATTTATTCGTACTTAAATTAAAATAAAACTGCTTTTTATTTTGTCCTTCGTGGCTAAACACAACTCAGTTTCGTCAATCCTCTGAAGCACACCGCTCAGTATATTTCAATGAAGTCTATTCCATCACGTGTGCTCAAAGTGGAACTTGATCCTAGTGATACTTGCTCATTTTTATCCCCGGGTTATTTTCGCATATCCCCGTTTCCTCCTTCGAACGTCTTATTTTGTCGTTTTGGGCAGAAAATAATCCGAATGTGATCGACGGAACAAGGATTGGGCGCGTCAGCTGATAGCAGTAACTCCAAAGATAACTGTACCTACCGATGCTGATGATTGCGTTTGTTTCCTTTGTCTTGATTGGGAACACTATTGTAACATACATTCCTTATCAGCGTTCACGCGCTGCGAATTGGTACAACTGTGCCTAGCGGTCTTCATGCGGCATAGAATTGACGAAGGGCCACTAGCGGTTGAAGATGAAGAGACGAATGAGCGACGACTCGTTCTCAGTTCAGTTCAGTTCTTACAGCCATTAACGATGCACTTTCGTGCGCCGGTTTTGGTTGCCCATACGGATCAAACAGCAGAATGATGATTAGAATGTTCAGAGCGGATTCAAGCGGAAGATAGCACATTTTCATAGACTGAGGTTACAAGAATAATGAGTAGATGCACGAGCGCCACTATTTGGCATACCCAGCCATATCTCTCAGTGTCTCTAATCACCAGTGACTATGATCTCTGGGTCCCCAGCCAGGGAGTCTAACGGGACCTATGTGAGCCAGTCTTCTGGTCAGGGTTTTCATACCCTCATGCCAGGTCTTAACCGCCCTTCATTTCTTTTCCAACCGCTACCTGCCTCGTCAAGCATCACTGTCCGTAGCAACCTATCTGGTGACAGGCGTAGCACATGTCTCAACCGACGTAATCTATGGAGGTCGACTACCTGTTCCAGTGGACGACCGCGATTACCTAAAACTCT